AATTTCTTGTGTCATATACTTATATTGTGAATATTTCACAATTCTTAATAATTTATGTTTTTGTTTTGTTTTTCGCCGGTCCCGTACCAACTAATTTATTTTAAACAATTTTTATGACGGTTTCCATAACCAGTTTTCGATTGAATCGAAATATTTTCAATGCAGATCATTAAAAAGCATTATCAAATACCATTTCAGAGAATATTACCTGATAATTATTCAATTTATGTAAATCGGACGAATAGTGCTCGCTTGCAGTAGTATTTTGATCGGTGCCATTCGAGCATATTTGTGACTGATTTCACGCACCAATTGCCACCGCTGCGCTGGAGTACTCAGGTATTTAAAAATGGTTCGCCGTACTATCGTGTGAACCATTATTTGGTTTGATTTTAATTCTCTGATTGCTTTTTAATTCTCTGATTGCAAGTTTGTAAAATTATTTTTTTTAAACGTCAAGTATTATTTTTTGTGAAATAAGAAACAACTCAATACTTAAGTTGATTTATTTACAACCACATATCGTCAGTGAAACGTGATAACCTGCTAACTCCATTTTTTACGTTAATACGTTTATTTTTATACCATTAGAAAGAGAAAAAAATACTCGATAAGTAGGGAAAGCAAACATTTTTCCCCATTAAAAAAATGCTATTTTAACTCAATAATAGTGTGATAATAGCTGCTAACTCCCAGTAATCTAAAATAGCCACCGAAATGGTGCTATGTCCGTAATTTCCGTTACGATCACGCTAAAGCAAACACACGGATTCTTACTCGTATGTTTATTTAGTACAGTACGTCGATCCAGGGTCGCACTAGGCCAAAGGGGCAATGTAAGGAGGGGCCCCTGTGGATTTTTTTGCGTATTTTTTTGCCTTACGTTTTGATCAATTTTTCCCTATTATATACAGGGTGAGTCTTAAATAAGTGCAAATATTTTTAGGGGTACCTAGTATATTTCGACCCAAGAAACGCGATTATGAGTTTTTTTGCGCGATTTTTTTTCTTTTTTGAAAATTTGGAATTTTTTTAAAAAAAAATTTGGAATATTTTTTAATTTTTAATTTAAAAACATACTTTGTTTGTAATATGGCAACAAAGGTAAGAGATTAAAATTACAAGAAAGAAAATCGAGTGATTCTCAAAATTTTAAAAGTGAAATAACTCGGTTGTTTTGGATTTATTTGAAAAAACAGTAAAGAGAAAATATTATGTTTCTTTTATCGAGATTTACCAGCCCTGAAAATATTTGCACTTATTTAAGACTCATCCTATATAGAAATCAGGGAACTACCCTAATGCAAGGTAAACCAATACAATGCAAATGCCATAATGTAATACAAAAGCAAATTTTGTTAAGAATAAATAATGAACTATAAAGGTAAGCGCGCATTTATTCGCATCGGACGGACGTATCGAACACACGGAACGGACTAAAATTATTATTTGCCTTATTTTAAATGAGACAACGCGCATACATACGTATCGGACGCATCGTAGACACGTTGTTTTTAACGTTATTTTGAGCAGTTGCCTAAAAGAGTGAAAATGGATGACGGACTATTAATTTCTTTAGTGCAACAATAAAATGAACTTTATAATTTGAAAAACAAAGAGTACAGTAATCAGCAAGGACGCCAAAATATATGGGAGGAAATTGGGCAGATAATAGACAGTTAAAACACGGCCGAAGATGTAGACGTAAACGTATCGTTTGACATGTACGCTTGCGCAGTGTGAAATTCACTTGCGTTTACGGATACGTGATACGTATCTTTACGTGCCTTTACGTACGTACAAAACGCAAACGTATCGAGCCGAAGGAGTTTCGATTTTCACCCGAATGATGACGAACGTACAAATTCACAAACAACTCGTTTCCACAACTGGCTAGTAATTAAGTTATTTCATAAATTTTGGGGCCAGTGTCACAGAACTGGGCCTATTTTATTACAATAAATTAGTATGAAAATATTAAGCATCATAATAAACTCATTTGGGAATCTATTTAATTAAATGCTAGTTCTTATAGGCAAAACCATAATATGAGGATTTTAAAAGATAGAATCTAATAAATAATCATAAAGCTGTGTCTGTTTTCCAATATTTTTTTATTACGAAGAGCATTTTAAGTTGTAAGGACTACTTTCTGTAATAAAATAATTTCCATTTATAATTTTCTTCGTTTTTCGATATTACTGTTATAAATTTAATGTGGAATCAATGGAATAATAGATATCCATTTTCAATTTTAAAATTAAATAAATTGTTTCACAAAATAATTTAGAATTACAAATGTACCATTTGCGTTACGTACGTCAAAATACTTGCTTTAACTCTTGTTTACACGACAACGCAACGGCAGACGTAACGTAAGTTTCTGCGTTACGTGTCGAGAGATACGTATACGTATTGTGCCTTGCTTTAACTGTCTAATGAAACAACCAGGTACGTAGACGCAATATAATAGAATAAATCTTTAACATATAGGTATATTTAAACAGCAGAAAAATCAGTTTAACAACTTTTTAAAAATACAGTTCATATTTACATTATGGACCCAAATTCGTTTTTTTTTCTTGTTCCTTTGCTCTTCCTCTTCAAATGCACATGCAATTGCAAATAACAATTCTTCATCAGAAATACTACTCATTTTAAATTTGGAAAGCGAACGTGAAAAACAGAAGTTTTGTATTAGCCCGCTTCCAGGATTGCACTAAAATGAAAATGCGGGAAGAAAATCCGAATATAATATGCGATGATAACAAATATATTGCGATTCGTCCGATGCGTCCGTTGCGTCCGGTGCGAACAAATGCGCGCTTACCTTAAAGGGAGCCCGCGAAGGCTGGTGCCCCCCTAATACTGCCCCCCAAATATATATATATATATATATATATATATATATATATATATATATATATATATATATATATATATATATATATATATATATATATATATATATATATATATATATATATATATATATATATATATATATATATATAAAACGAAATTCTCTATATGAGCAATTCATCGGCGTGCTATAAATAGTTTAAATAACATTACTTAGTTGTACAAGAATTTCCATAATACCTAATCAGTTTTATTTTTTTCAACGTTTTACCACGTAAATGATACATAATTTTTATAAAAATTAAAAAAATAAGGAGAAAAGTAATAAAAATTTAATAAAATCACGCACTGTTTTTCAAGCTCGGTCTACTACCGTTATATAAAAATTAGGATAAGCATGGAAGGATTCTACCATATCTTCTAAGACTTATAAGTTTAATTTTTAAATGATTTTCATATTCATTCAAGTCCAAAATGCTGCTACTTCAGTTCTTTAAAAATGTATTCGTTTTTGGACTTGTATGTTTTGCTTCTAGACCGACGATATTCTAAATATATGGTCATGAATATCATATTTTTTAAATTTAATTCATTATTTCTAAATCTGTCTGGGTAATATTCAATTCCATTTTCAACATTTCAAACAATAAAGGTTGCTATCTCCAGAAGTATATTTTTATTTCTTATTTCTGCAAGACGAATATCTGCTATCTCCCTATTGTGTCTGAAAAAAATTATGTAACACGAAATATTGAGTTTTTGTTCCCCAGCAAATAAAATTCTCATCTTTTTATCATATTAACGCATGAAAATGCTTCCTACATGTGTACAGGGTGGTCGAAATTGGTCTGTTTTAACAGAGAAAACCTATTTCCTGACTAGATAGAGCAAAACCGACATAGATGTCATGAGCTCGATTTCAGAGAGATGTTTAATGGCGTAAATCACGCGTTGATATTTTCACTGCCAACTGAGATACGGGGACTTTTTGAATTTTTTACCATTTGGAAAATTGCCCATAACTTTTGTATTTCGCGGAATAATAAAATTCTGTAAAAAGGTTCTTAAAGCACAATTCAGTGGCGTAGTCAGTTTTTTTTCTATGCTTGCTCTTTTTGTCAGTAATGATAAAAAATATAATTTTTTAAATGGAAATCATAGTTGGCTATGAACTTAAAAAAATGTTGGCGTTTAGCCCTTTCGAACGATATAAAGTTATGTGGATTTATTTCAGAATGAGAGAAATATTAGGTTTTTTATCTTTGTATCGAAGCGGGCCTTGATTTTGTGTTGACCTAGTTGCCTAATTATTATTTGTCACAGTTTAATATTCTATATTTTTATTTATCTGCATAATTAAAGCTTTTTGAAAAGGTAATTCTATATTAGTATTCTATATTAGTATAACCAATTGTAATTAAAACGCCAGGGTTATAACTGAACTATTAAATGCAGAATTTAGAGAGAATTGGATTGGAAAAAGGGGCCCCATATCTTAGATATAGGAAACCCTAATATAGTTTAAAAGAGCATTTAAATCTGCGTCGACTTATTTAAAAAAAATACATAGTGTTGTATTTGAAATAACGAAGTTTTTATGTAAAATAAATATTTAAAATAGACCAGTAATTTTTGATACCCCTGTATACATTTAAGGAAGCAATAAAATTTATTAGTAAAGTTTATTTCTCTAGCCTCAAAGTCAGCACAAGAATTAACTCTGTAAAGTGTTGACAAGGTGTTGACAAACTTTTTTATTATAGCATGCATATTTAAATATCTTTAAATATCTCAAAAACCAAAGCATTTAAACATATTAAACCCTTCTAATAAATGCCTTATTTTATGTCCAAGAATTCAAAAATGAAATAAAATACCGGGTGTTCCATAAGAAAAAATATAACTGTGGTATGGATCTTAGTTCTGACACACCCTGTACATTTCAAAATAATTTTAAATTATGCACATTGCCTTCCCACATATACCCATAATATATTTTGTTTCTGCATCTTTCCGTTTTAGTATAATCAACCGAGGCGAATGAGGTTGCAGCAAGAATAATTATATTTCAGAATACCCTAGATGAAAAAAACTAAATTACCTAATGAACTCTCAGAAAATTAATAAAAAAAACTTACCAATATTTAGAAGAATAAATAAAAAAATAACGCAATGGGGCATATAGAAAAATTATATTTACTTTTCACATAATTTGTTACGTTTATGTTTCCCAAAGTCATGCACCTTCGTAAATCACGACATTTTACAATAAACTAAAATCGAAAACGTATTGTTAAATTTAGTTTTGTTATATCACAGAGACTTCTGGAAGGGATTAAGATAAAAATCGCAATAAAATTACAGTCATTGGCTAGAGATCTCTGTTCCTTATTATAAACTATTGATACTATATATTTATACACTGTAAAAGTCGCAACAAACTATAAATAAATTATTAATAATCATTTATCTGTTGCTCGAAAGTCAGCCACTCGTGACAAATGTCGGTTAAAATTTAAATTTATTCAGCGCTGTCGTTTAAGCGCGTTTGTTACATTATTATAAACAATTAAAGAAATGCGGAATATAGATCAGAAAGAGGTATCATTTGCCATGTGTTGTTGTAAGTTGCGTACAGACCCGCGATACAATAAATTATTACAAAATTTAATTATACACATATTGTTCAGTTGTTTTGAGGTAAATCAGACAACGCTTTGTACATATTTTAATGTTACTCGAGTACAATATATATCATGAGATGTCTAAATTGACATTTTTAAAGAATAATTTTACAGAACATTGTGTATAGTTATATAATACTAATCTCGCCTACTAATAATGTCTACAGGGTGTTTCAATAAATTTTCAGAAATATTTTGCGAAATGTTTCACGAAATATTTCCAGAAATATTTCGTAAAACATTTCGGGGATAGTGTAGCGGCTGTTATACAGATTGAGTTCTATTTTTTTAAACGCTATTTCTAAAACCTCATTATCTCAATGCAATCGTTGATTCACTTCTGAACCCTCCAAGTATCAATCGCCATGCAGATGTTGACTGAGTGAAACTGAGACGGTACGGCAAAAGAACTGATACGTAACTCACATGTGCGCATAGACCTTAATGATAAATTTCTCCACTGCTAACTGTGGGAATCGATATTCCAAACAAAAACAAACATTATGCAACAGTTTATATATGCATTTACGTCTATAAACTAAGAGTTCATACACCTGACCCCTGTAAGCACGAAATTCTTAATTAAGTACCAATCCCCATGCAGTAGCTAACCCAAAGGTCAATATTACGAAGGCACAAATCCATGAAGTGTGTTAGTAGGTAGCTTAAGGCATCGTTTAGAGTGTTTTGAGAGATTATATATTATCATATAATATATTTAAATGACACTCTGTAGATATGTTTTTTACATATCTATGTAGGGCTTAAAATCATCTTTTAAGCGATATATATTATATATCATCGAAATTTGAATCAAAAGAAATTATTTTTATTGATTGTTCATTAAATTGAGTGTTTCCATTAGTTGGTAAAACAAATATCTTGACATTCAGTAAAACCTCATTTTTAAAATTATCTACCGGGTGCGTATCAAAAGTGACTCACCCCTATAACTTTTTATTTTTTCAGATAAAAAAACGAGATTTGGTATATTAGTACATGACACAAATTAGGATTGATTGACGTATTCAATTGTTTTTGGTCACTTCCTGTTTCACTGGAAATGACTACAACTTTTTATTTTTAAATGGCATACTCGGTATTTTTTTTTACTTTATTCGATAGAAAATGATATTTTGGAGCCTTGGAAACATAGATTTGGCCGTCTAATGTTTTTAGTCTCTTGTCCTGGTCAGTTAGAAAATGCCCAAATCGTATTTTTTATCATATCTCAATTTTTTCAAATGGAACGAGGGTGGCTCATTAGCATATTTGGAAAAAGCATTTTTTACGAATAATTTGATACCAGACACTTGCCATTTCGAATCAAATTGTCGTTACGAGCCGCAAGTTATAATTTCAAATAAACCATATGCAAAAATGTCAAAAGTTGGCATATGATATGTCATTCTATTCAGAATGTAATTTTCTATCAAATGAAGTAAAAAAATACCAAGGGTGCCATTTAAAAATCAAAAGTTTTATTCATTTCCGGTGAAACAGGAAGTGACCGAAAACAATTGAATACGTCAATCAATCCTAATTTATGTCATATACTAACATACCAAATCTCGTTTTTTTAACTGTAAAAATAAAAAAGTTATAGGGGTGAGCCACTTTTGAGACGCACCCGGGTTACAGGGTGTCCCAGAAATAAGTGCAAGTATTTTAAGGGGTGGCAGATCTCGATAAAAGAAACATATTTTGTCTTTATCGTTTTTCAAATAAGTCCAAAATAACGAAGTTATTTTACTTTGAAAATTTCCAAAATAAAAATGATTTTTTGCTAAAATTTTGAGAACCACTGGATATATCCATTTCTGAATTTTCTTTCTTCTAAATTTAATCTAATATCTATGTCGCCATCTTATCAAGAAATTATGTTTTTTAACTAAAAACTAAAAAAAATTCCAAAAAAAATTTCAAAAAATTTCTAATTTTCAAAAAAAAAATTTCCGCGAAAAAAACCTCATAGACGTGTTTCTGGGGTTGAACTATACTACCAGTTAAAATATTTGCACTTATTTCTGGGCACCCTGTATAATAAATGTTACCAGCAATTTTGTTACTAGTTCATTTCTGTTTAATTAAAACCTGTTATGTGGAAATTAGTAGGGAACTAATAATTATAAAAAAGTTTAAGTACTACCTATCTCTTTACTTTTTTTAATGTCATTCTATTCAGAATATCATTTTCTATCAGAAAAATTAAAAAATACCGTGAGTACCATTTAAAAATCAAAAGCTGTAGTTATTTCCGGTGAAACAGGAAGTCATCGAAAACAATTGAATACGTCAATCAATCCAAATTTATGTCATACTAGTTGAAGCCTGGCGCATCCGCCACGACATAATGAAAAAAAAAACTTTTTATTTTTTTTTTTAATTAAATGAAAAACAAAAAATCCAGCGACGGTTTTCTAGAAGAACCAATTAGCTATCTTTTAGTAAAAAAAATAACTTTCTAGAGCAAGTCTTCAGTAGAGTCGATACAGATAAACATTAGCATTTTATATATGTAGATACTAAAATACTATATGTAATACGATATGTAGATACTAAAATACCAAATCTCGTTTTTTTAGGTGCGAAAATAAAAAAGTTATAGGGGTGAGCCACTTATGAGACACACCCGGTATAATAACCGAGTTATTTTACTTTTAAAATTTCCAAAAAAAAATGTTTTTTGCTAAAATTTTGAGAATTACCTTTCCTGGGTTTTCTTTCTTGCAAATTTAATTTACTACCCATGTTGCCATATTATCAAGAAACTTTGTTTTTTAACTAAAAACTAAAAGAAAATCCAAATTTTCTTTTTTTTTGCGAAAAAAACTTATAATGGTGTTGCTGGGGTCGAAATATACTACTCCTAGAAATATTTGCACTTATTTAGGACTCACCCTGTACGTTGTTGGTATTATACAGGATGGTTCGAATTGTATTCCAGAAACTTCGGCAGCATATTCTGCAGATAAAAATAAGTAAAAAAGTTCGTATAAATGTATGTCCTAAAATGCTTAGTTTCGGAGATACAGGGTGTAGAAGTTTCATTTTTATTTCGATTTTTTCCAAATAATCTCTAAAGAAACGTCAATATCTGGATGAAAATTGGTGGATGGGTGTTTTTTGACATGAGAAATTTGATTTTGATGTCAATATGACTGCCATTTGTAGGTGGCGCCACCTACATGTGTTTTAACTGTTTTGAAGAGTAATAACTTTTCGTCGGTACCTGCATAAAACTACAGAGTAAAAAAATATACATTTGCAACTTTTTTTACATAAAAAAGGTGTCTTGGTAAAAATCGCTACGAGTAATGGTTCTCGAGATATTTGGAATCGAAATTATCAATACCTGTCATCGTTGACATAAATTAAACATGTTGACTAAATAGTAATTAGACTGAAATCATAAATTTGAAATCTTTTTGTGTCAAATGTTCAAAAGAAATTGTTTTATCATCATTTTTTCGCAGAAAAACTTATGATTAATTTAAAAAAATAAAAATTTATTATTTCAGTCAAATAACTATACTCAACGTGTGCTTTTTTTGTCAATAATGACATGTATTGACTATTTCCATTCTAAATATCATGAGAACGGATGCTCGTAGCGATTTTTACCAAGAGACATTTTTTACATAAAAAGTCATGGAAATGTATATTTTTTTTAGTCAGTGGTTTTATACAGGTACGGTCGAAAAGTTATTACTCTTCAAAACAGTTAAAACACATGTAGGTGGCGCCCCCTACAAATAGGAGTAATTTTGACATCAAAATCAAATTTCTCGTGTCACATTACTCCCTGATACCAATTTTCATCGAAATATTGACGTTACTTCAGAAATTGTTTGGAAAAAATCAAAATAAAAATGGAACTTCTACACCCTGTATCTCCGAAAGTAAGCATTTTAGGACATACATTTATACGAACTTTTTACTTATTTTTATCTGCAGGATATGCTGTCGAAGCTTCCGGAATATAATTCGGACCACCCTGTATATTATAATAGGACATTTTACAAATAAAACATGACAAACCAATTTTTTTGGCACTTAGAACATTATTTACTTCAAGTCTTCAATTATTCTTTTTAGGTTACCATTTCAAAGTTACGCACTCGTGCTTTTATAAATATTAATTAATCACTGTCCATACCGCCTGTCAAATATTTAGCGCTTGTCTTTAATATTTACTGTGTTCTGATTTATCGCTATTAAAATTTGATTGTATAAGTACGTAGAGTTGCTAAACTCAAAAAATTAACGGACCAAATCAAATTAAACGAAGGAAACAGAAATGTAAGTGCGCATCTGAGGCGCATGTTCACCGAACCTCGACCAGTAGTTGGGCAAAAGGCAACCTTCAAGATTTTAAGCAAGAATTTAATTCTACGGTAGGCTCGCGGGTTACATAATTCACGTGAGTTCTTTGTTGGAAATCAATTCACTATAATAGAATTGGTTTTCAATATGCATATAGATATGAACAGATAAATGAAAATACGACAAAATCTGCATCAAAGAAAAAATCGAGACACTTTCTTATATTGAAACCTGAAAAAAAAATTCAAAATCACAGTCTTCGCATATTTTTGGGTATTTGCGTTTTACCTGC